CTGGGGTCATAAAAATGAATTAAACATCAATTTTTTCGATACTTCCCTGGGGAATTAAACACAATGGACAAGAAAAGAATTCATAGGAATTGAAAAAATTTCAAAACTTTTTAATGCAAGCCTTCTTATTGGGATCAAACTTGGCATCCCTGCGCGCATTTCATGCGACAAACTGCCGTTACGCTTCGCTTTTTAGGTCAAAGTGTGGATTCCGCATTAGTAGATAGTTATGATGATTCTACACTTACCGAGTTCCTCCGCTTTTCCGTTACGTTTTTTTAGATATATTTAAATATAAGGAGCGTCACGGAAAAGCGAATCGCTCGCACAGTTTTATATGAGTGTAGAATCAGCATTATACATATATCTATGACGAGATCCTGAAGCACCATTCGCTATACAAAAATCAATATGCCCACAGAGCATATAACTCACGGAAGCACTATGACGAAGTAAAAGAGCTATATATATATTATTTACGATCTGTGAAATGATTCTGCTTCCTAGGCTGACCTATGTGGTTTGGTGGATTAGAGTCGAATTAGAAACGTCTAGAACTTAATTAGAAGGAGCGAGAATAAAGGCCCCATAGTTTTCTCTCGATTTCCGGTTGCAGAAAATGTTTCAAATAAACATCAAAGTTGGCGAAAGGTGGTTTTTTAATGCTCGTTGCTTTTCTCTACATTTTATAGGAAAAAGTTGTGATTAAAAAAGAAAGGTATAAAAAATACCTACAAAGTGGTGGGTCGAAAGTTAAAATCGGATTATTTGCTTAATAGTTATTGAATTTATCACGGAAAGAAAAGGAATGGTTGGGCCAACCATAGGTATTGATAAATACGTCCCATCAATATTATATGGTCACCACAACCATATCTTTAGTTGATACAACCATAGTATTGTTGGCCTAACCAAAGGTTAGGTTGTCACATCAAAATGACGAAAAATTGCAAATTTGATGTGTCAACCTGACCTTTGGTTGCGCCAACCATACTATGGTTGTATCAACTAAAGATATGGTTGTGGTAACCATATAATATTGATGGGAAGTATTTATCAATACCTATGGTTGGCCCAACCATTCCTTTTTCTCCGTGTAAACCATTAAAAATGGCACTTTTTTAATTGTTTAATAACTTTGTTAATAATAATCCGATTGAAGTGAAACTTTCTGAAAATGTGCCCCTCGCGATACTGAACAAAATGAAAAAACCTCGAACGCAATCGGATGAATAGTTTATAAATTATTCCATTTCTTAATTAAAAACATGTTGTTTTTCAACTTAATTTCTACAGAACGATATGGAGCGAATTCAATTTTTCTTCTTTCATTTTACTCTTGAAGAGTGATACTATCATGTACATAAAAAAAATAATTGAATTTCATTATTTAATTGCATAATTATCGATAAAGGAAAAAGGGTACTTTTTTTAAGTTATAAACAATTGCAATTACTCGGCCATTTTTTACTCCGTCGAGTTGTAATAAACGCCATTGAATTTCTTTTTTCTTAACAAAACTTTCAAAAAAAAAGAAAAACGATGTAGCTTCAAGGGGGGGAGATAATTTTTTATTTTCAAAAAATTCCTGACACTATAATTATTAATATTTTTTAGTCAAATTTACAGTACTTTAAGCTTAATTTACGTACTATAAGATAAAAAATTGTAAGCATTGTAGGAAATTATTTTCTTATTTATACAGAGGGCCGAAGGGAGTTCATCATTTTTCCTTGCACCCGACGTCGGAGTGGGAGAACTCGGTAGCGCGGATAGACGCCCGCCACAAAAGTAAAATTGCCCGTTCAAATTTACAAAAGTTGTTGTAAGTCGGTTAATTATTAACCGATTTTAATTTTTCTTTTTTTGATTTTATGTTATTATTTCTCCTCTTTTTAAAAATGACCTTTGATTTTTAATAAAATTTTTTTTAACTATATTTAAACAATTTTTTTTAATAACAAAATATTTTATTCATTCATTTAAACATTTTTAAACTTTTTATTTAATTAATTATAGTTTACTAATGATGATTTCTTGCTTTTTTAATGTATGTATATAACACAAATTACTATTATTATCATTACTAAACTGCAAAAAACATAATTTTTTTCATTACAAAAAAATTTACATATGGCTACACGAATGTGTATAAATAATTATAAAAAATTTTAAACATAAAATTACATTAAAAGGCTTAAAATTATATTCAATTAAAAAAAAGTATAAAAATGTTTAAATTAATGAAAATATTTTGTTATTGAAATAAAATGTTTAAATTAATGAAAATATTTTGTTATTAAAAAAAAATTATTTAAATATAGTTAAAAAAATTTTTATTAAAAATCTAAGACCATTTTTAAAAAGAGGAGAAAAAATAACATAAAATCAAAAAAAGAAAGATTAAAATCGGTTAATAATTAACCGACTTTCAACAACTTTTGTAAATTTGAACGGGCAATTTTACTTTTGTGGCAGGCGTCTATCCGCGCTACCTAGTTCCCCCACTCCGACGTCGGGTGCAAGGAAAAATGATGAACTCCCTTCGGTCCTCTGTATAAATAAGAAAATAATTCCCTACAATGTTTACAATTTACAATTATAGTGTCAGGAATTTTTTGAAAATAAAAAATTATCCCCCCCCACCCTTTAAGCTACATCGTTTTTCTTTTTTTTGAAAGTTTTGAAAAGAAAAAAGAAATTCAATGGCGTTTTTTACAACTAGACAGAGTAAAAAATGGCCGAGTAATTGCAATTGTTTATAACTAAAAAAAAATTACCCTTTTTCCTTTATCGATAATTATGCAATTAAATAATGAAATTCGATTATTTTTTTTATGTACATAATAGTATCACTCTTCAAGAGTAAAATGAAAGAAGAAAAATTGAATTCGCTCCATATCGTTCTGTAGAAATTAAGTTGAAAAACAACATGTTTTTAGTTAAGAAATGGAATAATTTAAAAACTTTTCATCCGATTGGGTTCGAGGTTGTTTCATTTTGTTCAGTATCGCAAGGGGCACATTTTCAGAAAGTTTCATCTTCAATCGTATTATTATTAACAAAGTTATTAAACAATTAAAAAAGTGCCATTTTTAATGGTTTAAATTCAATAACTATTAAGCAAATAATCCGATTTTAACTTTCGACCCACCACTTTGTAGGTATTTTTTATACCTTTGTTTAAAATGTAGAGGAAAGCAACGAGCATCAAAAAACCACCTTCCGACAACTTTGATGTTTATTTATAACATTTTCCATCATCATGAGTTCGGTGGGTACAATGCCCACGACCGCCTATGGTGCTTTCTGGAATATACTTACTTGAGAAGATTGGAACAGTGAGCGCGTCTCTTCCAAACAATAGTGGTATCTAGTATACATACGGTTTGAAAAGAATACGAGTCTATGATGGAACATCTGAGGTGGGCTACTTGTATAGTATAAAGAACATTGTACTAATTTTTGAGCTTTTACATCTAGACCATTCCCAATGTTGTATTTATTGGAAATGATGAATCCCTTTCTTGTAAATGCAACGCTAACTAATCCACTTGTTACAAATTGACAAACTTGTTCCGGGCTGCCATAAGGAAATTAACAGCCCGGCAGGAAGTGACGTCATTTTCCTCTGTATCTCTCGGCCATAGTAATTTCAAAGGTTAAGATATAGCGGATGAACTAGCTAAAACTGAAGCTAGAGAACTATTTAATGTGCCACTCTTACATGACCTCATCCCTCTCTCTCTCTCTCTCTCTCTCTCTCTCTCTCTCTCTCTCTTTCTTTCTCTTTTAAAATTCTACAATTAATACTCTCAGACACTTATAACTAACTCAGCTTCCACTTACACAAAAAGTGTGCTTGAAATTACCTATCTTCTTTCATAAATGACCAAACTTTGCTATCATCATAGAAGTAAGAAGTAAATAGACAAAGCCCAAAGTTACAAAGGTTACTTCTTAGTCAAACGTCGGAAAATATATAACATATGAGTAGCGCTTAAGTACTAATTCACCGATCAACGTATCTCCAGTGCCTCACTATTTACCCATAATCAGTTATACACTTTCATCTAAAAATAAACTTTGTGCTGTCTTTATTTACTTTTTATGTCTATGATTATAAACGATCAGCCTAAATTTACCACTGTCCGACAAACGTTATTAGTAACTAAGTTGGACACGCCATACTTAGAGAGAATATATACTTGAATATAAGGTTGTCATAAGTAACAAATGGTCATTTTTTAGCATTTCTGTACTTTAAACTTGTTATAAGTTTGTAGATGAGACTTACAAACCTTGTGTAAAATTACGCAGCAAGTTTCAAAATATTTTCAGTTAAAATAAATTTTTTTAACAAGTAACCTCGGGAAATTAATCTATTACGCAGTTGTAGATGACAAAGAAAAAATTGTGCAGCTATCTTACAGGAACTTTACTCTACCAGCTTGCCATGAAGCGGTCATTTTATTTCTTAAGGTAAGCATAAGTGCTATCTCTGTGAATCCACCGCCAATTTACATTTGTAATGCCTAAAATATTCAAAAGAAGATCTCTATGCTTTTAGCAGAAACAACAAAAATTCAACTCAATTATTTTGTTTCACATACACTCTCAAACTATGCATCATACCATCCACTCAAAGAAATCACGTTATATGTACTTCCATTTACCACTATATAGTTGCATCTTCTGTCTATAAACTTCTTAAATTAAAAAGTAGAAATTTTTTAAAATTTAATTTCTTATTAAAATATTAATTCATATAATGTAGAATTTTATAAACGACCAAAATGCAAAAAACATTAGTCTATAATTTTGTAATATACTATAAAGCGAACATTAACAATAAATTGTTGGTGGTATATAATGTTTTAACTAAAAGTAACAGCTAACCTACGCAAGTGCATAAACTATTTTTATTCTTATCAATATATATGAAAAACAATATATATATTTTTTATTGTAATGGTATGTTTAGTGCATGAATATTTTACCTGGGAACAGGCATGCTGAGACGAGTGTTGATTATACGCAGCATTCGACGAAGAGCACACTCCAGTTCCAGGAACTTTAAGCTGCTCCTGCTTGTAGTCAGGTTGATATGGTAGCAACATACGTATTTTACCCCAACGGTTAAAGAACAACGCTATTGCCCCTGCCCACACAATCAGCACTAAGACCACTATTCCCACTTCTACACCTCGAATCTGCAAGATATTATTTGAATTTAGTTCGTATTCTTTGAGATTACAGTTTTACAAAAGAATTTATTTCAAATATGTAAATTATTAATTAATTAAACATTCAAAAACCGAAATGATATTCCAACCAAAAAGCTTCTTCAGAAACTGTAAAATTTACAAATATTTTCTGAAAAATAATCCCTTAAACAATAAAGTTTGAAAAGAGAATTTATGAGAAAGTCGAATTATATTTTTGATTTTATAATTAAATATCCGTAGATATTGAAAATTTATGTAATTTAATTGATCAACTTTACAATGAGTTTTAAAATGTTAATATCGGAAGGTACATATACATGTTTTTTCTAAATTTGTTAAGACAGCCTCATGAGAAGGAATAGGTGCTAATAACTTTGTCCGTTTAAAATACGTGGAATGTTTGTAAATCTTCATATTCTAAAACTATTAAACTTAATTGGATACTTATGAGAGTCAGACTCTTCTAATTTATGTCACAATTCTTGTATTAGAATTTCCGGTGTTACAATTTGAGCTACACAATTCCATGTCTGACATCATTTATCGCGCCAATTACAAAATTCAAGTCTACTCTGTATTGCCATCTCCGAATGGTTGAGATAAGATTGGTGATAAAGATATTTTTTTGGTTAACATTTGTCAAGTTTATTATTTCATTTTACTGTTGTATCCTTAAGCTTTTTGAAATAGACGTCAGTTGAGATCGCGAATAGTCAAGTGGCTTATTATATTATAATCATCATGCTTCCAATTATTAATTATACTAAGATTTTAATCTACTATACAGAGAATCAACGGCCGTTTATTGTTAAATAATATGTCATAATTATCATTGTTCTTAATGCTAATGACTGCTCCCAAGTAGAAATGTAATATTAAAACTAGTACTGGCAGTAGGCTGTCATACACACCGAATCAGTACTATGTCGCTGATAAAAAAACATTAAATAAAAAAGTCTCAAAATTGTTCTAATAGGTAGAAAACGATGATTTTTTATTAATACACTACGACCCGAGTTTAGCGAAACTGAGTTTAGCTAAATCTCAGAATCGGCAACAATAGGATGGTAATTAAGCGGTAAGCGTAAGATGCTCCGACTCGAGCAGGAGCGTAGAAGTAAGGCAACGCGGTTCCTTCTAGTTGAAAATGAGTACCAAGCGGAGACGTTTGTCTGGGAGGTACAAGGTTTTTTAATCTTTAATTTTAAATAAAAAATTTGTTAAATTATAAAAGCTTATTTATATACATGTATACAAATTTTATTTTTTTTTCACTCCCAGCAAATTTATAAATTTACTTTATGAAAATCTTAATTTTAATATTTGCTCTCAATGTTATATTTGATGAAATTTATATTATTTAATTTCAAATAAATTTAAAATTTATAAGGCAAATGGTGAGTTTTTCCCCTTTCTTGTCTGATGTCAATACAATTATTTGAATTTTTATTAAAAGTAACTTTAAGTATTACTTATTACTGTTTATAATTATAATAAAATCTAAAAATTAAAATATAATTATAATAATTATTGCAATAAAAATATTATGTATTATAAGATGAAGAATTTTCAAGAAAAGAGTTTAAGGATTTCGTATTTCAAGTAGTTCGTACGGCCCTGATTGCTGACGTCGATTTCGGAAAATCTCATTACTGAGTTTAGCGAACGACCCACCAAACCTGCCGCTAAACTCAGGTCGCAGTGTATTGTTTATTTAATTAATAATAAACGACAAATAGTTAATTCTTTGTGTTTCCATTTTTGTTGTTAAAAGTATTTTATCTCAAATTTATTATCACACTCCTGAATACTCGACAGTTCTTCATAATTCGATATATTTTTTAATTAAATTTTCAAACTTTTTTACCATTTATATTTTAAAGTCGTTTTTTATTAACTTATTTTGAATTATGTAATTCATGAATTATTTTTTTTTGTTTTAATATAATTATTTACGGTAAAAATAATTTATTAATAATATTCAACTGAAATTGATATACAATTTTATTTCATAAAATCTTTGAAATAATTATAAATTTTTCTGAGAAAAAAAAATTCTAGAATGAATTCATTTTATTTTCGTGATCAATAGATAATACGGTCTTCGAAATAAAAACTTTTGCATTAGGATGAACTACTTCAAGTCAGCACTTCAAGCCAGCGCGGCTGTGCGGTGTGCGTATCCTACTTGCGTTCTTAGGGTTTAGGGTTCGATCCTCCATGGGTGCGAGGTTTTTCATTCTTAGCTTTAAGTGTTATAAGTAATATTTGTTTATATGTAATATTAATTATTAAATTAAGTATAAGTGCAAAGTAATGAATTAAAAAAAAATTATATAGTATGAATTAAAAAATAAGAAATCTACAATAGAAAATATTTTTTGTAAAATAATTCATTAAAAATAATACAATTTAATTAACATAAATGATAATTATTGTTTTGATTATTATTTATTATTATAATAGTTTCAATATTCTAAATAACATTAACTATTAAATGTAAAAATGGGAGTAATAAAAGGATGAAATTTGCAATGGAAAGCGAGCAATAGTATTTTGTAAAAAAAGTAAGATTTTAACTCCGGATGAGTACTTTGCCAGTATTATTCCAGTACTATACGTTTGTACTGGTGAGCGGGACAAAATCAGTACTGGACAGCGTTACCAGCCAGGGTTGGCCCACTACTGGACCAGTACGGCAGTCAGTACTGTTATACTGACAGGCAGTGTTGGGTCAGTACTATGCTAGTGGCAGATTTCTACTTGTGCTGCTGTTCCTTTTCAATCCCCGCATAACTAATATCTTTTAAGGTTTGCAATCAAAACTTAATATCCGATTTCAAAATTTTTTTGAGATATGACAAGTTTAACGTCCTGGATTTTGTTATATGTTTCCATTAAATCTTAGCGTACTTAATGCGGAATAAAATGGGGAGTGATACTTTGTCTAACCCCCTCCCACAACTAAATATATCACGTAATATTTAAATGGCCCCTATAGGATATCCTAAATATCCGTATACTGTTAGGGTATTAATTGGCGTGTCTGGAATGATGGCCTCTGCTTTATAATTAATCTGATACAGTTTATAAATTTGCACTCTAAAACTGAATCAGTGAGAATTTTACTGAATTCAACTCAGTGGCTCAGTTTTCTTTGATGAATCAGTGGAATTTCACTGAGAATCAGTGGTTTTTACTGATTCCCAGTGAAATTCCACTGGTGAATTAAAGAAAACTGAGCCACTGATTTGAATTCAGTGAAATTTTCACTGATTCAGATTTAAAGTGTGAAAATTTTTAATATAATCAATAAGGTCTGCCACCATGTTAGACAAAGTTCTCGCACATATATGGCACATATGTTAAATGTTAATTTTTAATTTAATCTTTTATAAAGATGATGACATCACTGGATTTTCCGAAAATCCATTATTTCGTGGCAGACAATACCGATAGTTTCTGAAAAATCATTTACAATATTCTTTAAAGAGTTGCTCCATTTCCGGATTAAAATAGTTTTCATGATCAAATATAGGTCTCAGATAGTTCTGATTCTAAATAAAATACAATAGACAAGCTGATGCTGCTGGAATTCTAATAGTTGTTTTTTCGATATCTGCTTATATGTGGCTATGAGTTTTAAGGGGTTAATCTGGAAGATAGGTCTATCACATTAAATAACCATTTGAACTTTGCAGGGTTTGGTTTCATCTCAGTTTTGTTATTGTTAAGAGTTAGAAAGCATGATATATAAAAGATATCTCTTATATTCAATACCGGAAGTTTATGTGCCAAAATACTTATTTCACATGTAGGGGAGATGTATGCAGGTTGAGACGGGTTTTGTTTTTTAGGAAAATTTTTAAACAAAAAACATTTAACAAAAAGTTTTATATGCCGTTTAAAAAGTACTGTCCAGGGTTACAACATTGCCTAAGAAAGTAGTAATTTTTTTTTAAAAATAAAAAATTTACGTCTGATTTTCCGAATATGGTATTTCTGTCCAAAAAATAAATTGACAGGCAGGTTGAGACACACCTAGTAATTGTAAAATGATTAAAAGAAAATAAATAACCACGTCATTTTTTAAAAGTTTCATATTTATTTATTTATATTAAAGGTATTGAAGAATAAAAAAGTTTAAAAAATTAATAATTTTTATCAGAATTGGCATCTGAGTCACAATTTTGTTTTGAAAATTTCTAATACCCTCGGAGGTTATAAAAATTTTTTTAGTTTATTTGTCCCACATTTATTCAAATGTTTAGTAGAACCTATTGTCATTTTTTTTCTTACAATTACTAATATTTTATCTAAATGTTCATTAAGGGATGATTGTTAGTGGTTGATTTTGATCCTTTTGGGGTTGATAATTATTGGAATATATTATATGAGATTTCTAGTATTTACGGACTTTATTAAAACTTTTTGTTTTAGAATAACAATCAAGTTATCGAAATTAAGTCTAGTGACTCTTCGCGTCTCAACCAGCATGTCTGAATGTGTCTCAACCTGCACACATCACTGCTATATTTTGATGACATGAAATTTTTTATCGGTGTTAAGATATGTTTAAAATTTCATTGGAAAGTTAAAATAGAACAAAAACTGCTATGTAAATATTATATTCACTTTTTTCTATCACTATATGTTAAAGATGAATTTTGAAAATTAGAAAATTATTCAATATCAATCAAAGATTGATATTTTCTAAAACTCTAAAAGACTTTGGTACTTTAACACACGTTGCCCTTCGGACAAATTATATTGTAAAAGGTAGTGGATCCCTTCCTTACCTCACTATTATTCAGTGAGTTGGTTGAGAATCCATATTAATCAGAACAATTGGTTAGGAATAATTTAAATAAAAGATCAAACAAATATTTAATTAATTGTATATAAATATATATTGTGTAATAGCTCAAATAATACAATATTACAGTATTCTGTATTCTAATACAATTTACGTGTGAATGTATGTATGTGTAATAATGTTGTGTGTGTATTGTGTTAAGAGTCTCTGAACTCTTACGTATATTTACCTTTGGAATTCCTCGTGTCTCAATTCAAACGTTATTTCAATTCTCCAATTTATTACAGTTATTTAATATTCTCTTTATCTCAATCAATTATGGTAAACAAAACTCAATAGAAAACATAAGCTCAATTACTATTTATTTTCAATCTTAATTTTAAAACTAAGTAATCTCAAAAGAAACTCATTTATATACTCTTTAAATCAAACTCAAAAAATCAGATTCTCTTTATTCAACTACTTCAATTATCAATTCTTTGTAAAACTCAATACTCTTAAATCAAATCACAATTCAATACTAAATACTCTTCTGTCAAAAATCTCAACTCAAAAATAAATACTTTAAATAATCCCAACTCAAAAATCAAAACTCAGATAAAACTCGATAAAACTCCAAATGGAAACAACCTCAAAACTAGAGGTGTATTTCAAAGAGTCTCTCACTTAGAGACTCAAACTCCAACTTAAAACTCTCAAAAAAACTCCAAGCTCTACACTGAGCTCACTCTCAATCTCCCACAACTCACAACTCCCAACTAACAACTCTTAAACAACCCTGGTCTAAGGGGTTGTTCCACCTGTCTCACTCGGAGACCACACTTGGAAGACCTCGATCTTCGTGTGTCAACTGATTTTATTAAGTTGACTTTTGGTGGGGAAAAGAATATTTTATTTAACAAATTTATTGTTGTCAATGTTTTTTTTATTGCAACCTTGCAATATTGGGGTAGTGTTCCAGTTCAGTTTGAATGGACATACCTTGGATGCAGCAATGTTTATTGCGCCATCCTTTGTTTCTTGAATTAAATTAGTTCACTTAGTTTCTCAATTTTATCATGAATTTTAAATAGGTCTTCTTTAAAATTTAGGTTATTAATTGAAAGTTAATATTTAATATATAGTTATTTGGACATCTCTAAGAGATTCTAAAGGCATTTCTTATAATGTTTATAAAGTGTTATTTGTTTGTGTTGCATAATGCGTGTCCTCTTTTTCAAGTATTGTATTAATGAATTATTAATAATGTTAATAATTTATTAATAAGAAGTTACGAATTTCATACGTAACACTATAAAATATACACTTTATTCACTGAACGAAAATGATTTAAAACACTTTTTTCTTAAACATTTTTGATGTTCTCTGGCTCCAACACATATAACACGAGTTACAGCTTTTGTCATATATAAATAGTTTGCCACTAACGAAATAAAAAGAAGCCAATAGGCAATTTGGTATTATTAGTTATATACAAAATAATATCTGTCTCAACCTGCATACATCTCCCTTATCTATATTACAAATGAAATATTGATGTGTTAAAGATGGAATTAATTTTGTAATGAAAGCTGGTATTTTTCGCATATTTTTAATACAAAAATTGTGGTTAGGTTTTTGAAAGGGATTGCAACAAAATTTAAACGGCAGCTTTACGCCTTTCTTATACTTATAAATAAAAAATGTTAATACTAGATATAAGAAAATTCATAAATATAGAAAACAAATGTAAATAAAAATTTAACTACCGAAAAATTTCCTACTGAAGTAAAGTCTCGGTTAATAAGAATGTAAACGATAAAACATCAATGGTGAACGAACATTACATGAAAAAGCACGTATCAACCCCAGTGGGCAAAAAACCATGTTCCTTCCAAAAACTTTTTGAAAACGTTTCACGTCTGCCAAAAAATGTTCTTAAAATGTTTCAGAACATTATTTGTCGGACATGAAACGTTCTTAAAACATTTTCAGAACGAACATGGTTTTTTGCCCACTAGGACGTAGATTGGCTAAGGTGATGCAAGAAACAAATGACGAGCATTCACACGCATACGCATACGCTTTAAGATTTTATCTTGACGAGCTTTGTGAATGGATTTTGCTTTTCAAGGTTTGACTTGAATACCATTGTATTGGTATTGCTGCATTACTGTTTTTTTCAGTTGTAGAAACACATTGCGTGCAACCAAAGCATAATTTTTTTAAATATTTCCTATAAGAAATAACGTAACAATAGGTGTAAAGTTTGTACAATAGTAACGAACAGATCACAGCGTTTTTTATTCTTAGTAATTTTGCAGAATTTGGGTTGCTAAATAACTAAACCAAATAGTTTTGCAAAAAAATTTATTTTGCAAAATATTTACAATTGAAAAATTAAATTTTTAAAAAATACGATTTTCAGAAATTTTGTCTTAAAAACTTAAAAAAAAACTTAATAACTCTAAATTGTTAAAGATCATTTTTCTCAACTTTATTTTAATATTCTACATTTTCTTGTAGGATCAATAGTTTTCGAGACACAAAAACAGGTTCTTTGTATCTCACACAAAATATATTAAAAATATCTTTTGTTAAAGATAAGAAATCATTATTTAACTGACTAACATATATCTATATTTTTATTAAAAATAAGTTTAACTTACTTGTATATATGTTGGCGGTTGTTGAGCTGAAGGTGGGGAAGGAATGCCTGTAACTGATGCATCTTGTTGAGGAGACGTTTTTGGTGGCTCTGAAAATGAGATATGTAATTAATTGGTTAAAGCTATTACAAATTTGTATTCAATTCCATAATATAAAAATAAAAAGTGAGATAGTATAATTAACAGGTGGCATTTCAGAAACAATTTATCTTGTTCCTCTTTGTTCACAAGATTTTTTCATAATTGACCAAAACTATTTTTATAAAAATGTGCATACCATTTTGTGTTTTTGTAAGATAAAGACTTACACTTTGAAAAAAAGTGAATGAATTGAAACCTTTTTCATTCATGTAAATGAATTTTAAGAACATTGAATGAAAATTAAGTTATAATAACTGAAAATTCATGCACGCGCATGCGTTAACGGCAATAGCCCATGAATTTTCAGTTATTATAACTTAATTTTCATTTAATGTTCTTCAAATTCTTTTACATAAATGGAAAAACCCAATCAGCACGAAAACTTGGAGCAAACTTGCAGAAAGCTTGCCGTGCAAAATTGCAGGCACACATGTAGCAAGTTTGGTGCAAGTAACAAAATGTCCTCTTACGTTTACAACTGCGCATCGTATTAAGTTTTGCAAACTTGCAGTAAGCTTGCACCAAGGCTGCCCTACAAGCTTGCCGTAACAGGACATTTTGTTGCTTGCACCAAACTTGCTACATGTTTGCACTACAATCTTGAACATCTTGCACGGCAAGCTTCTTGCAAGTTTTCGTGCTGATTGGGAAGCTTTCAATTCATTCACTTTTTTTAACAGTGTAATTTAGTCATGAAATTAGTTTAGTTATTTCAATAAAGTTCAATCGGAAATGTTGACTAATTTTATAAAATTAAAATACTTTGCAGAAATGATTATTAGGTATCAATATCGCGAAATGAAAAAAACTTATTGTAAACATTTGTATTATTTATTATTTGCTAACATTACATTTTTACAATTACCGTAATTTACTGTAATGTTACTTGCATTTATAATTTTTAAAACATGACATGCGGAGATACAAAGCAACATATTTTTGCACCTATCTGAACATTATAGACAGAAATTATATTTTTCATAACTCATAAACTTGATGCGCTTTCAGCGACAGCCATGTGCCAAAAATTGAGAAAGATCGTCCGAAAATAAAAAAGATAAGTAATAATTGGATTGAAACTGAATATTTGGAAATTTTATAAATCTATGATTGAGTATCTGAAATCAGATTTTCCAAATTCAAATCCTTGTTGAAACTTGTCATTTAAAAGTTATCGAGATCGCTAATTATTTAATCGTATAATTTGTTATATTTTTTTTTTCTTTGAGATAAAGAGTTTGGCAACCAATAATAGGACTATGAAGTAATACTAAATCTATAATAATTGAATAAAAATTAAAGATTTAATTTTTCAATATCTCTCTAAAGCATTGTAATTATTATATTTTCAAAATGGCTAAATATGACTACGGTTAATAACTTAGAATCCTTGTTTCTCATTAATTTCTCTTGGCACAGAATATGTTTGAATGCAAATGAGTATAGTTACCCAGTGTACGGAAGACAATTGGTCGGCTTTTGTACCGTTTACCACCTCTGACGGCAGTGACAACCAGTTGATATTGCGTGTCAGCCCTCAGGCCGCTTAACGTCACCGCTTCGCTGTTACCCGCGACCACCGCCACCACCCTGTAACTAACCATCTTTACATTGTGATTCCATCTAATATATACAAATCTTAATCTGCACATGCATGATTTGCAAATTTTTTTTTAGAAAACTCTGTTTCATCGTTCGTACACTTTTCGATTTAATTTCTCAACTCATGTTATGTACTTATAAAATGCTCATTGAAACATCAATTCAAATTTATTATATTCTAACTTCTCCGTCCAAAGGAAAAAAATACATACAAATACATTGCAGCAAAGTCAAGAAGATGAAAGAAAACTATTTGTCTCTAGAACATTAATTTGAAGTATTGTTTTTGAATAGTTTGAGCAGTATACAAAAAAGATGCATTTTCTTCTTTATTCTACAATAAAAAAGTCATTTTTTAAATAATTTTTATTCTACAGTGTACTGACATATTTCTAGTAGGATCAAATAAATTTCTAAAAAATACAAAGTCAATTGCATTTTATTTCCTGTTAAACTGAATGGAGAGCTATCTCGAAGTACATTCTAATACTAGAGTTCACTTTTCATTTGACACATATAGATTGCCGGGTTCTTATAACATAGGAATTCATTAATGTTCTAATTTACTTTACAAAGCAAAAAGATGCATCAAGGCAGAGGTTTCTTTCAGTTGCTAAACTCAATTCTCTATCAGGCCACTTGCCAAAGTATAAGAAATGCAAGTGGCTTTCTAATCCACACGGTGGTCTTCGAATAGTTTTAATTATGACTTTCTTCTACTACTAATTTTTTGGGATTGATAAGGGACACTCTCAGGATTTTTCCAATAAAAATTAAAATCGAAGACTGAACACTAGTGTTCAGCTTACCGTGTAAGCTTACCACAACCTTACCATGTAAACTTACCACGACCTTACTGTGTAAACTTACCTTATCTTTTTTTATTGAGATTTTTCGTATAATTTTTTTATGAAGGATACGTTTTTCTTTTTGAAACTTACGCTTTTCATTCTCAATTAATTTATTACCTACTCAATATATTATTGGAAATGTTTTTATCGCAATATATTACACAAAATAAATCGAATAAAGAAAATTTTATTTTAAAAATATTTTATTACTTGACTTATAATTCAATAATGTGATTTTCCAAAAATTATACGAAAAATCGTAATAAAAAAAGTGCTTAGTCTTCAATTTTAATTTTTCTTGGAAAATGACCCTGAGATAGTCCCTTATCATTCCAAAAACAAAATTAGAGGTGGAAGAAAGTCATAGTTGAAACTATTCGAGGACCACCGTGAATCTTTTCACCTTCCTTTTCTTATGACGCATAAAATGCTTTTTATCAATCTACTTGGAAGAATTCTACGGAATCGTTCTTGAAAAATTCTATAGAACCGTTCCCAAGAGTTCTTATAAAACATTCCACAAGAATTTTCCAAAAAATTTAGAAATTCAAATTCAAACTAATATCCATCAACATTACAAAAATGAGCTCCAGAAAACATTTAGTTTCTCAGGAAAATCTTCTGCTTCAAAATGTAGTTTGATTGTTATGATAATAATTATTCTGAAATATTGATAAGTAATAGTTATTAGTTGACCTGTAAGTAAAATTTGAGTTTCTGAAAATTTTTACAAGTATTTATAGAAAATGTTGCTACTAGATGACTCTGTAGAATTTGTATAGAGCGATTCTGTAAAATCTCTCTTCATTTTACATTTAAAAATTTTTTTTTCTTATTTGGGCATATCTCTAGAACTTTTAAACTTTATGTTATCGCTCATTATGATACCTTAAGAATTTTTTAAATAATTTTTCAATACCATAATTTGACCAATTATAGGGCTTTTTAAATGTATCATGCGGTATATAATTTTTTTCATTATGTAGGAAATGACGAACGTAAGTTAAAGTGGTGAAATCGACAGTTTCTAGTGTGTGATATTGACTGGTTTTTTTAGTTTATAGACTGTAACTTTTTTAACGAAACATTGTGTGTCTTGTGGCTTGCAATAGGAGTCGGTGGGAGTGTAAAGAACTAAAAAATCCATGAAACAATGATGTGCCTCAAATTGAATAAAAACTATGTAGCTTCAAACTTGCGAGACAACTTTTTCAAAATTTCTACAAGTTAGCAGTTAAACTGATATAACTTTTTTAACGAAGGTTTTTGAGTAACGGCACAACGGGATTATATTATCTACCTAATAAGAAGTAATTTGAACCCATACAGGAATGTGTGCCTCCTTTACATAAAGAATGCAATGACTTCAAACGCATTAAATTTTAAAACGTAACTCAAATCAAAATACCACATATTTGAAAAGCACATGTTGAATTTTGCTTCTAAATGCTCCCAACTCATTGTAATCTCTTCTCATGCATTATAAAAGTATACAGAAAAATAGTTAACCTTTGCACACTTCATTAAAACTGTATAATTAATAATGAATATAAACCTAAACTGTCCGACGCATAGTTTGTGAAGAAAAGTAAGTATTAACTAATAGATGTGTTTAAATCTGGCTGATATTTCTCACTCGAAGGTTTTTGGGGTCGCTGCGACTACTAATCTGAATTTTAAATTTTCCAAAATTCAAAATGGCGAATCCAATATGGCGGACGACTTTTTAAAAAAGTGATCCCATTGGCCTCAAATTTGTTACTTGGGGGTTTTTGATGTCGCTGATTATGAATCTGAACTTTGTTTTTCCAAATTCAAAATGGCGGATCCAATATGGCGGATGACTTTTAAAAAAATTGATCCAATTGGCCTGAAATTCGTTACTCGGGGGTTTTTTGCGTCGCTGACTACGAATCTGAACTTAGTTTTACAAAATTCATAATGGCGGATTCAATATGGCGGATGACTTTTTACAAAATTGATCCCATTGGCCTAAAATTTGTTACTCGGGGGTTTATGGGGTCGCTGATTACGAATCTGAACTTAATTTTTCAAAATTCAAAATGGTGGATCCAAAATTGCAAACAAAATTTTTTAAAAAATTTTTAAAAAAATAATTTTAAAAAATTCAAAAATTGTTATAAACTACATTTACTTATGACTTAATAAACAATAGGCCATAAAATTTTTGAAACTGTAGCATTAAATCATTTTAAAGGTGGTAGCGACCCAAAAAACCCCCGAGTAACAAATTTCAGACAAATTCGATCAATTTTTTTAAAAGTCGTCCGCCATATTGGATCCGCCATTTTGAATTTTGAAAAACTAACGTCGCATTTGTAATCAGCGACCAAAAAAATCCGCGAGTTACAAATTCCAGTCAGTTTTAAACACATGTAGAGATTTTGGGCAGGTTTTTTGCAATAAGGCCCACTGTGATGCCTAACAATGTGTAAAAATGAGTTACGCAAATTTTTTTATAGTATTTGATCAATACTGAAGACAATAAAATTTGTTTCACGAATGTGCCCTGAAAAAAAAATTAATTTTTCTAATATCTCAAAGTTTAAAAGTTCTAGAGATATGCCCATTTACTTATCTGCGCGATTTTCAATTGTAAGGATAGAATTCGTTTATTATTTTACTTTTAAAGCAAAACGGCCAGACACGGTTATTTTTTTAGGTTTTAGTTTCCGAAAATGTTAAATTTTTTTGTGGGTCAAAAATTGTGTCGAACGGTGTATTGTCCGCTTCATGGGGACATTCCCTGGAGATATTCCTGTGACATTCGTATGATACTGAGGGAATATCCCCGTGAAATTTGTGTGATATTGATCATAGGGATATTCCCTCAATATCACAGGAATATTCCGCTCAATATTACAGGGGTATTCCCTTAATATTACATGAATTTCACCGGAATATTCCCTCAGTATTATACGAATATCACGCGAATGTCACAGGAATATCACCGTGGAATGTCCCCATGAAGCGGACATTATGATATCACCTGAATGTCACTGGAATATTCCCACTCGATATCACCGTGACATTCAACCAATATTCCGTGCTACTTGGGCTGGAACATTTTTATAACATGAATGTTCAAATAATGTTTTAGAACATTTTTTGACAGACATGAAACGTTTTTGAAACGAACATGGTTTTTTGACCACTGAGGAATATTTTTATTTTATATATACTTATTTTTACATCAGATTTTATAAACCTAAACTTAATGATAGAACGTCCAAGGGTCTTATGGGCAGGCCAACTTGGCCTCCCAGAAGCCTTTATTTTAAGACGTTATAAAATTAATATAGATTAAGTTGAAAACAAAGTTAAATAAAGTTGGAAAGATAATAATTCAATCTTTTTAGCGCACGAAAGATTAAAACTCTAAATTAAAATACCAGGGCTGGGCAGTTGAAAGAATTTTCGATTATGCTTTTGAAACGACTGTATGACTTCTGTCAGGCCAAAGTAAATGTTGAGAAAAACTTTATTGCAGGCAAAATTTTATACATTTTCTTTATATATTTAAATAAATTTATTATTATGTGTATAAGCATTTATTACTTTTTGAATTGTTTATCATAAACATATTGAAAAATAGATAATTGAACATATTTAGATTGTTTATTCTTAACATTAGTGTTATAGGCTTTTGGCAGGCCTAGCGCTTAGATGTTCTATCATCAACTTTTTATTATTAGTGACTTTTGATTAAGTTTTATATAAAATTCGATTGACATAAATTAGACTAAATGGAATATCTAGAACTAGAAGGAAGATGAATATGAGGTCGTAATTGGAGTCAGCTGATGAATCACGTTTTTTACTTATTAGTCGAAAATTTTTGAGTTTGCAAAGAAATTTTTATCTTACCTGCTTATAAAGAAATTTGAGGCAGTTTTAATTTATGTGATAACTACTTGAATTTAATAAGTTCTGTTAAAAATCAGCAGTTTTTATTGGTGCAAGATTTAATGTTGATGACAAGAGGAGCTCAATAAAAAACAACATTCTATTCGCTTACTTATGCTGAGGCTATAGACATAGGCCTAATGCTAAGATCTCTTGCTGATGACATAATACTTACTTACGAAACTCTAATTAAGCATAAACCTGCAATGACCCTATATTTATCATAAACACTATATTATTAATCACAACTGAGAGTCCGCAAATCATAATCGACACTACGCTTACGATAAGTATAGACCCTAAATTATGTATTATTGGTCATAATTATGGATTATCGATCAAAACCATTATGTAACGACCAAAGTATACTGTTTCCGAAAAATTGATCTTTATTAAAGTATGTGGATAATAGAGAAATTTCCATCATTCAGTGAGCATGAAGAAATATAGTTTCGCCTAGAGATACTAAATAAAAAATTCATCCTTTATTTTGATGATACAGTTTACGAGAAGCAAAACAAAGTAACAAATTTCTTTTTTATAAGAAGACATGTAAAATGTAAAAGACATAATTCAAAAATTAAACAATAACCCCATATTGAGGTATGAAAAACTCAAGAACTTCAATCGAGCGCTAAAGCTGTAATTTTTAAAAAGTACGAATTACTTTCTCAATCTAAAATAGCAATAAGTTTACTACTAATTTCAATTAGCTTTAAAAATTAGTTTACCATATGTAGAATATGATCCTATATTTTTAGTCCATAATTCGAAGTATAAATGTCTCTATTGTATACTGTAACGAAGTCAAAATTAGTAGCAACATCTTTTTAGTCCTCAACCTGAATGGCGTATAAGGTGAAGCCAAACTTTTAGACCTGTTTCAAATTTTTATTATGTGCGACTGCAACCTAAAAGCAAAGATTCTGCCGTTTGTTTTATTTTATTTAAGTTCTTTCAATGCAGCGAAACTTTGCAATTCCGAACAGTTACAAAAGCAAACTCTCTGTCGATTGCTGATGTAACAATCCGGATTTGTTCAGCTGACAAGTTTATTTTTCCATGTCACGTGGTTATACACGGTACTATTGAACATAACCTCACCTTAAAAAATACAAAATGTATATAAAATATTATTTAACAACAAATTTCAACTCAAATAACTTTTTGGTTTCAGGTCAAAGAATTTGATTCAGAAGCTGCATGTTCCACAGATTTTATTGCAAATGAAACTGGTGATATGACCTACGGAAATCTGCTATTGATTATTTTAGAAAGCGAAGAAACTGTACAAATTGTATTAGACGGATCAAAGCTTTGTTAATAAAACAAATTGTATTGCCTATTTAACAATTTAGTTTTGTTATTTCAACTGTTCCATAACAATTTTCTTTGTTCATCAAACAATTCTGTTTCTTCACCGAACAATCCCATTTTAACAATTTTTTTTTGTCTCAACAACAAGTAGAACTGCTGGTTGACAATCCGGAATTGTTGTGCGGACTTAATTTTTAGTATCCACAACAATTCTTTTTTCTCCGTGTCATTAATTAAATAAAAATTGTCAATATTTCTAACAATTGAATTTTGAAAATTTCTTTGAAAACGGGTTAATTTCCACAGTAATATTACTGTAACATTATCATGAGGTAGACATTTTAATATTACGTGTTGCTTGGGATGGCTTTTAATAAATAATTAATTATATTTTAAAGAAGCCAGGCGCTCTCAATTCTATAAATAAACGGTTCGCCTGTTTGGCCTTTCATAAATTGAATATAATAAATAATATGAATAATAATAATAATAAACGTGCATTTACACGTGTTATTTCTCCCCTAAACTGATGAAATTTCACTAATTTATTTGCACGATAATTATTATTATATATAATTATACGATAATTGGGATCAATGGTATATTTAACGCTGATTGAAAAATCAGTAAAATTTCGCTAATTAATATTTTGAGAGTAATTAATAAAATTTAATTATATTAGTAGAAATGCAAATTATTCACAAATCATCTATGAACACTATAGTTGTCTATGATATTGTTTAATTTTATAGAAATTTGTACTAAAACTAATTTTAAATTAACTAAAATCAAAATGTCATTGAGGTTAGACATTTTTGAATATTTTTCAATAAAATATTTTATTTTTCTTGCCTTTAATCAGAAAAAAACTGAGCATAGTTATCCATGTTTGTTGCTACTAAAATGAAAAAAATTATAACATAATGATTGTAAAAGTGCACCAAACATATGTTAAGTTGTTTGGAGACCAATTTTTGAACGAGCTTTATAATTACTCCTTCAGAATGGCGCTAATAAATAAAATGTTATAAATGGATAATAAATTTGTTGAATATAGAAGCAAATCGACAAAAACAATGCAGATCATGTTGAGAAGAGGTATAGTCGTAGGTAACTAGGACCTGCTTAATTCGATATTTACCATAGGATTCGACATTGGCGCTATATGTGCATTTCACCACAATCATTATCTACTTAGTACAGTTGACTAAAATTTAGTGTATCAGTTTAGTAAGTCGAAACCATAATAAATTGTTTAGTCATTTTAATTCAGCTCGTAGTTCTGTCGACTATTCTCATCTCTTTGCGATCTCTCTAATGACTAAAATGCAAGCACAGCTTCTACGTAGTGCAGTCGAACCTGAATCAGCGAGAGTACAAAGGAACAGGGATTTTTTTTCTGCCTATAGGGGTTCTTCACTGAATTTAAATACGAAAATAATTCATTTTCTCACATAAATAGTTCGAAAGGAGGAGAACAATTCTAACTAAAATAGGTCCAAGGACGTAAAGAACTTCTCTTACTTTTAGATGTCTAAGCGAGAAAAAAATACTGTTACTTATAGAACTCTGTTACGTAACATCTGAGATAAAGTAAGATAATATTGAAATTAGGATATCTATAATAAATACATACTTGTTTACGGAAAAATTTTCAAAACATTTGTAAACAGAATTGCTAACAAAAAGTCTTCGTCGATATTTGTCTAAAGGTTAAAGTTAAGAGTACCGCTATCAGTAATGTTTACGAATATATTGAGAAGTTTTATGCGGAGAAACGGCGTACGTAGAAAAAATTTTTAGGGGAACTTCATGAAGATAAATGAGAGATATGTCAAAAAAATTTAAGTTTTCGTAGGGGATTTTAACCATCAAACACCTTTGAGTACGCCTCTGACGCAGAATAAAATAGTAACTTATAATGAGTATTAATATTTCAGAATTTATATTACTTTGCGCCACTTAAGTTATACACTTAAAGGATTTCGCATTTTCACATTCAGAGGATTTTACACGTAGAAATTATGGGAACTTGAAATGATTTTTGCTGGTAGAAATTTCTCATTTATATTGTTCTCACTTATCCAGGTTGACTACATATGTATTAAAATACTATTCAGCTTGACAATGTTTTAAATTAGCCTTTATTTCTACGTATGTAAGCACTGATAATTAAAACCTAATGGTCCAAATCTTCAAAATAAACCATAGAATACCTGCTATTATTGTTCCTTTGCGGCAAAAGAAGCAGAATTCTTTATTAGTATTAAAAAATAATTCATAAACTGTATTAGTCTTAATGTAAAGAAAGTTTACTTTTCACAAAAATCAATTTTATTTCTATATTCTCATCATATGAAAAAAATTTTAAAAAATCTGTCGGTGCGGTTTTTTGATTTTTACTTTGCATAACTATTTATATTGTCGTAAACAAATGAAAAAACGAATTTTTTCAAATTCGCGTGTTTTACGTTATAATTCTCTTCATCTCCACTGGGTGTCGATGTTTCAACTCGTTTTCTCATAAATGACATGCGTTTAAAAATATGTGTATAAGTACAATAAACTGTTAATCTCAAAATTTTTCAAAATTTTTGAGTTTGTTGAGTTTATCAATTTCAGACTAGTAAATTCAAGTATATACGTGTTAAATAATATAAGTTTCGCGACGACGACTATAGTTGATCAAAGTAATAAGGTACAAAGGGGTATCCCTACTTAATTTATGCAAAAAAGGTGGGTGCAACGCTGGTAGTCACAGCACCCCCGACCAGACATTGTACCGCGATTGGGAAATACAGACACAATTGTACAGAAGAAGTAAAATATGTTTTCTATAACACCTTGCTTAAAAAACTCGACTAAATCGCTGTCTTTTACGCACTAGTGCTTAAGGGGGGGGGGGTATGGTATTGAATTTTTTTTTATTTTTTTAAATGAATGTATAATATTTCAAGAATATGGTGTAAAAATTTCAAGCCGATCGGAGCAAAATTGACAAAGTTATGAGAATTCAAGTGTCGGTTGCTCCGCGGACTGTGTTTTCGTATATTTTGAATTTAGTTTGTGTTTAACCTTTTGCGGACATTTCTGAATATTTTCTGATGTCGTTGATGTGTAAGTATAAATGTTGGGGTCGCTGATTACGAATCTGAAGTCTCTCAATATCTACTAAACCAATCGTTCTGAAATTTGGCACAGTTCTTCTTGACTAAATTCCCCAGGTAACTACGAGAGCTTTTTTTTAATAATTACACAGCCCCACAAAAAAAAAGTGTCATGTACTTTTGACCGGAATACCCTAACCCTATGTATTTTGACGCGCTGAACACGAATCCGAAGTCCGTTTTGCTCCATCACGTCAGGATTTTTTTCTAACCTCAAAAAACATGTCGGATTTTGAGAAGTAAGCGATTTTTTTAAAAATTGATGTATTAACTTCAAACTTGGTATCTGGGGGTTTTTTGTGTCGCTGATTACGAATCTGATGTCTGATTTCCGAAATTCGATATGTCTGATTCAATAATAAGGAATTATTTTTAAAAAATTGTCAGATTATTATGAAATTTGGTATCTACAGGTTTTCTAAGTTGCTGACAAGTAACACTAGGGAAGTGCCATACGCCGATTTTTCTGAAACTTGGCAGTTTTGTAGTTTTTTGAAAACAATTTGACACGTACGTTTTGTTTTTCCCAAAAAGCTGATTTATGGGGGGGAAATACCCCTTGAATTTTTTTTTGGTAGGGGGACATTATTTTACGAAATTTTTCAAAAATTAATGTGCAATAAGTGTATCTGGGGGTTTTTTGGGTCACTGATTACGAATCTGATGTCAGATTTCAAAAATTCAAAATAGCATATCCAACATGGACTTCTATCGGCCACATTAGATACGCCATTATCAATTTTTGAAAACTGACATCAGATTCGTAATCAGCGACCCAAAAAACCCCTAGATACCAAGTTTGAAGTAAATCTTAAAATTTTTTCAAAATTCGTCCGCCATATTGGATCCGCCATTTTTGATTTTGAAAATCTAACTTCAGATTCGTAATCAGCGACACAAAAAACCCCCAGATACCAAGTTTGAAGTTAATACATCAATTTTTAAAAAAATCGCTTACTCCTCAAAATCCGACATGTTTTTTGAGGTTAGAAAAAAATCCTGACGTGATGGAGCAAAACGGACTTCGGATTCGTGTTCAGCGCGTCAAAATACATAGGGTTAGGGTATTTCGGTCAAAAGTACATGACACTTTTTTTTTTGTGGGGCTGTGTTATATAGTAAAAAATATATCGATTTTTTCAGCGAAAATCGAATTTTTGGGTTTCAAGTGCTGCGAAAAATAAAAAAAACCTTCTCGTAGTTATCTCGAAAAACATGTCTTTTAAAAAAAAATTTTTTTTTTATTTAGATGATTCTGTTGCGAGTTACGTTGAACACCGCAAATCCATTTTTTTACGAGGCGCCTGTAGAGATTTACTGCCACTCGTTCAATTTGTAATATTTTTCAATGAGAATTTAGGAAATTATACTTCAAATATTGTATTAATATGTGGAAATTAAGTTAATAAAGTAACACACTTTATAACACTGAAAAAAATTATTAAAAAAGTGCCTTTTTTACACCGCACACGAAAATAAAAGTAGAATTTTTACCCCAAAATCGGTATAAAAATTACCTGCAACAAATTTTATCCTAGTTGAGGGCGCCACCGTCTATGTGAATTAGCATTGGTGAAAATTACCCGCAACAAAATTTACCCAGCCTTTTTTCTGTGCCATACCCCCCATACCCCCTTAAAAGGAGGAGAAATCGTACTCTTACGCACACTTTCCCCTTGCATCACAGCAATTTAGTCGAGTTTTTGACGCAAAATGTTATAAAAAACTATGTATGGGACATGGGGGCAAATAAAAAATTATTTTGTTAATACAAGTAAATCAAAGTTTCTTTAGATTTTGTAATTTATTTAGGAAGGAAAAATGCTCATTAAACATGTCCATGAAAGTACACGCAGTGTTCTTTGAAAGTGAATGTTACTTTGTCTTCAATTTTTTTTTATTTTTAAGCTGTCTTTCGTCTATTAAAGGGTAGATCCTTGTAAGGCAGTGCCATCTACATCGGAATTAAAATTTCTGAAATTTTTCAACAGTACTTACTCGAAAACAAGAAAATAAAATGCTTTGTCCTTTAGGATAATTGATTATTGACTAGAAATACACTAGCTAAAACTTCTTTTGAGTTAAAATAAAGAAATTTTTTTCAACATAACATATCGACATTATTTTACCAAATGGCGGTCAAAATAAGTAAAATAGTGTCTATTATATATTATGTTAAAAAAAAGTTTTTGTTGTTATTTTCGTAATTGTTGAATTTTAGCTGGTGTATTTTTTATCGTTTATTAATACTTTAAATAAAAATATGGAAAAAAGACAAAAAGTTTTGGCTGATGTATTTCTTGCTAGTAATTAATTATCATAAAGAACAAAGCATTTTATTTTCTTGTTTTCGAGTAAGTACTGTTGGAAATTTTACTTTCGATGTAGATGGCACTGCCTTACAAGGACCCACCTTGAAAGGTAATTTCATTTAAAAGCTCCTATTATTTCCTCTAAGAAAGAATTTCAAGACAGCTGACCTTCAATTTCTTTTACTTCATGCGAATTTTCGGGCCTTTATCGCGTATAAGATCGTTAACATCTCGTGGTAGAGGAAGCGATTTAAAACGAAATTTGTCCACCCTTAAGTCAACACTTTCCAAAGCAGGATATTCGAAGACAATTTTATCCGAAACCTTAACTTATAATACAGAATACACGGAAAAAATAAGCCGCTCAAATTTTCATCGACTTTGTAGAGGACTCTCGGATATAACGCACAGTGTAGTACACATTAAAAACACTCAGTTCTAAAAATCACGTTAACAGGCTGTTGAGAAAGTAGGCTACACTTAAAAAGAATTTAGAAAAAGTCTTTAAAAGACTCAGCGACAGTCGAGGAAAACGAAAACCTACACGGTTGCCCTACAGCGCCAGCGTTAGAACGTTTTGTCGACAGTCGAGGAAAATAACAAGCGCAGAGCTTGCTCTACAGTATTCTCAAGTCTCTGCGACAGTTGAGCAAAATCAAAATTCGGTCGACCAATGAAAAAATAAAGAAAGAAATTCTCTCATTCCCTTGTGTTTATTGTATACATTCATGTATACATTTATACATACATTCATATAGTTGTAGTATAACCGAACACATATATTACCCCTACCTCACACATTTTAACCTAACACGAACTTAGCACTAATACACACGCATATACATTTATATAACATCGACGGACCGACGCTTGCGCAGTTTCGCACGATGGAAATGTACTTTCTGATCGTCCTTATATATTAAACGAAGTGATTCTTTACCACTTGCGAGAAACAGGGGGGATATTTCGTTTTGCGCTTGAGAGATTGCGCATACTTTCCGCGCACCGTTTTCCTCGACTCTTTGACAAGTATCTGTGATTCACATTATCTATTACCCAGTTTTAAGTTCTATTACAAAAGTAACTTAAAAATTACTCCAAGTCGCTAAGTTTCTAAAACACTTGTTATACAATAATTCAGCGACTTTTTTTCCGCTACTAGGTTTCTAAAAAGTCTTCGACTTTCTTCTGCAGTATCTGTCAAAGTTATAGAACTTTTATAACCTGAGCAAAATATTCATTTAGATCCGAGACTTCTTGATTAGTCGCTTAAATTCTAAGCGACAAATTTTTTCCGTGTACAGAATATTAATTTTACTTATAGAGGTTTCTCCGTTAATCAGTTCTCACTTGTCCAGAAACGACTGTATTAAAATAATCAAGTTCAACTGTCCAGCAATCTTGATTTATTTTTCTGCTCTTGATTTATCTTGTAATTCGTTATTCTTAGTCTTATTAAAAGGTCCATATTCTTCAGATCATGTCCCCATCTCTCTTAAGATATACACTTTTCCCAGATTGTCCAACCACAGTCGAAATAGATTTGTTACGTCTAATGTGTATTGGATTGAATTGCCGAAGTTGGCGTATCAGGATGTTCTTCTCCTGGTGCATAATTTCACCAAATCTAATGCCCATGTTCTGATTTATGATCAATTGATTTCTCATCTTAAGTCAAGACTTCTGCAATCGGGTGCTATTATAATCGATAACATGAAGAGAAACTACAACTGGTCTCTAACAGACTCCTCT